GTAAATGATAAAAGGGGGACTGGAACTATTATGCTACAACTTTTTAAGTTCATTTAAACAGCGTCTTGATTTGCTCCGCTCACCTTCTTACTGCATAGTCTTTGTGCATATCGGGTGCGCTTAAACGGACTGCATCAGACATATTACTGTCGTCTTGGATGTCTTGTTTGTCTTCTGTTACCTCAGGGTCTTCCTGATCAGGTGATAAAAGAAATTTTCGCGTAAGCCACAAGAATTATCTTGCGCTCGAGTTATTTTCGTGAGGGGCGAAATTTTGGCAGTTGTTCGGTAAGGATCACCGTAACTAGTTACAACTAAAATATATTAAAAGAAAAAAATATATATATGCATATATATGTATCTTTTTGTCGGCTTGACTGAAATTCTCCGCCCAAAAACGAAACAGAGTAAAGCTGAATGGGAGACAGCAACTAGAAACTTGTGGAAGAGGATTAAATTTGAAGGAGATTGCCGGTCGGCCTGTCTTCAAGTGTCTCACAGCCAGCGCCAAAGCGATATTCTTTATCTGATTTGCCGTCTGGTACTGTGACAATGTAAAGGTTCTAAAGTCAATGAAATTAAAATAACAGTACTGTCTAAAAATATCATGACCTCCTCTGGCCCCTGTTCAATTTCAACTTTCAACGGAAATGCCGCTCGGAAAGGGTTCTCGGAAAGTCTCACCCTAATGATAGCCATAACACAGAACATCCCTTTTCTGAGATTAAAAGAGAACATAAATTTACCTCAAAGAACTACAGATATCTACATCTCGGCCTCTATTTTAAGGCAGCTTCACATCTCAAATGGAAGTGATCGTGAAAAAACAAAACTTTTCCAGCGCCGAAGACCTGACCTAATTGAGCCTACAAGATTTTCAGTTTGATGGAATTTTTTTTTAAGACAATCGATCTCACCACTTCAAGTTTTATTAACGTAAGAATTCAAGAGTGTCAGATGCACTTCTGATATTTGCTCTGATTCTGGCGAATACGGGTCTTTTTCTGAATTACTTAGACAAAACCTCGTTAAAGAAGCATGACAATTTATTTTTTTGATGCTTCGAGAATGACATAGGTCAACCCATGCCTGATCTCTGCGGTACATCTATGGTAATTTTTGTTATATTTTGAGATCAGACATCCGGAATTTCCTTTATGTACGTCACTCCGTTAACAAATCAGCCAGTATAAAATCGCTAAATTTGACTCCATGTCAAAATCTATGGAGTACTTACTTTTTTTTGTCTTCAAAGGAATGTTCGCTCGAATATGCTAAATTGTCAATGCACTTTTGTGGGCAAACACATTTGGAATTTGGCTCTGCGATTGTTATCGATTATTAAGTGCGTCAGTAAGGAGATTAAATCCAGCAAATTTAGCTCGCCTTGGAGGAAAGGTCAGTGGAACAGGAAAACGCAACGATCTGTGAAAGATAAATGTTGTCTTCCCAATGGAAGGAAAATATCGTCACGCAAAAATATCACAGAGACAGAACGACTCCTATTTCGTTCGTCCTAGTTACAAACCAATGTTTACTTAAATCCTTTGAAGATAATGGCTTGGAGAAATGACTACATGTGAAAAGTAAACGTAATAAAGCTTAGCAATTAAGGGAAGAGATATACTGCCTGGCTCACGTGAAAGAAGAAATGAGAACTCACAGTAAAACTATCGGAATTTCGTGTCATGTTTGAGTAATATAAAAGCTGACTTCATGCGACGATTTCGGCCACTGAACTTCTTAAAAAGAAATATCGTTACAGGAGATGAACCCTGCTCACCTGGTGTCGCAATCACAGACCAAGAAAAACTCGCTGATGGGAGTCGAAGTTGTAGTCAAATGATTGTCGGTTCAGAGGAATTATTAATATGTGAGCGAGTTATATTGCACGGCCAACGTAGCATTTCACACCTGAATGCAGGTGATCACGCGATGGTCATTCGGTAAGCCTTCGGTAGTGTTCGTTGACTTTACGGACTTTACGAACTGATTAGATTACCGTTCGTCGGGCAAGGTAATTTTCAGCAAATGATCATAAGCAAATACATATTTTCTGGTTTTCGAGGATTATTATAAACGATCGCATATCAAGGGTCCCAGAAAAAAAAAAACTAATCAGAGATATCCCAGTTTTAACAATTTCCTCCAGGAAAACGGATTTTTAAAAGTAATACTAAACACTTTTGTTAATGATTAGCTTGGACTGTGACAAAAGATATCGACTGAACTTTCGACCGATATAAGCAACTTCGTTCCCAGGGTCGTCTCATTTCCCACCTCGAGAAAGGAAGAGAGGGCCCTGATAACGAAGTTGTGATAAAAGCTGGCTACAGAAAAATGAGCAATGACTACCTCTGAACTTTTAACGTTTTTAGTGGTGCCTTGTGTTTAAGTCATGCAATTTCTTTTTTTTTTCTTTTTTTTTCGGCGTCATTAATTTGTTGGCTTCCCCTAAGATGATGCTTATTATGTCGCACGACAGTGCACCGTTTCCGCTGGACCTCAGTATTGTCTAAGCGGTCTCACTTATGTCTGTTGTGGTTTCTCCATAAATAGACTTAGCGGATTATAAGAGGACAAAAAGTGAACTCACCATAATTTCAAGCTTCAACTGTAGTCTCAAAAGGACGAGAAATGTTTTGCATTCAGGAAGAAACAGTTCGGACGCAAGCAGGATGTCCCCCACTGATTAAAAGTTACTGTTCCTCATTCTGCGAAATAAAAATGAAACAAAAACTAAACATTCTGCAAGCTTCTTGAGAGACAATTTATCTTCCTTTAGAAAATTGCCAATGAAAGAAACTTTCTGATGTTTCGGAAAGTTCGCATCAGTTTTAATCCCTGCAAAATATCTATGTTTTATTCTCGGCCTTCCTGTTTCCTCTCTAGTCTGGTAAAGATAAGGCATGTTGATAATATAATACCACACCCTACTGAATAGTGAATTGACTAAATGTGTGTCACTATCATTGAAAACAGTATACGTCTCTGTTGAAACAGGTCTGAAAATCTCAAGACTGGCGTGCTGTGGCTAAATTAAGATGGACTCTTCCCTGTTTTCACTTTAAGGGTTTTAAAACATAATAGTTTTGCATGACGCATTTTCAAAAAAAAAAAAAAAAAACACATGACCTCAAATTATTGCGACATCGGTAACATCTTTGTGAAATCCTCGGCTTAAATGCGGGATAAACCGGCTCTGACTCCAAGAAGCGAAAATTGATAACATAGCTTGCGCGTTTGACGGCCGAAAAAATTCATCGCATTTAGCTTAGTTACCTGTAAATACATTCAACTCCAATTCAATAATTTGCTAAAAAAGTGTTTTTTTCAGGTAGAATATGTGTTGTTGTTTACTCCTCATTCTATGTCTCTGATATCCTTCGTCTCGTCTGTAACTACTATCAAAGCACCTCAGCAAATGAATGAAAGCAAACTTTTTTGGAAACCGTTAATTGCTTTCGCTGCTTAATTTACACGCAGTTGCATGGCTAAGCCGATAGAATTCACCGCGATAGAGGATGAATTGCGCTCGAAAGAAATTTCCCCCAATAAACAATTAGCAATACCATTTATTGGCGTCTGTAATGAAAGCCCGAATTTACAGTACAGGATACTGAAGTACAAAAGAGTGTCAAAAGAATTTTATTTTGTTTTGCGTAGAACACCCTTTGTACAAAGATTTCTTTAATGAACCGGAAAAAGAAAATTAAAATTTCCTCGCTGAAATATGCATTAACGACTAACTAGTTGAATTTTGTTTTTCCTTGGGGCAGTTTTTGCGTGGTTTTCAAATACGTGCTTGACACATATTAAAACTAACCACAGAATTACATTTTAAAGGAAGAACTGAAAGCTCCAATGTTATAGATATCATTTTATTGTTCATCCCATGTGCAAATGCAATTTTTGAAACCCTAAACAAGTTGTTTGACCGCAGCGAACGTATAATATAGTGCCAAAGGTTATTCTTTCAACGCTTTTAAGCAACTTTCTATCAAATAACTACATTTCAGCAGACTGCAAAGAAAGCAATGGCAATTTTTGGACAATCTAAAGTTTCGATCAAATAATCTGAATAAAATCTTTAGCCGTACAGTGTTTTTTATTTCGGATAAAGTCCGAATTTCGCGTTGTAATGATTAAAGATGACAATTTCCCCGCCGCTAAAGATTAAAAAAAGAACGAGATCACATGCATTTGCAACGAAAAGTGATATTCACTCCACTCGAAAATCGAAATTGATAAAACATGCGGATTTCAATAAGGATTTTCTGTAGCATTTTTAAAGATAAACAATTTCAGTTTCAGTTCAAAACGAACATTAAAATAATATGAACGTAAAGGAAAAATAACATTCAAGCAAAACTGACGAATTCATATTGAAATGGAAGAGAAAAACAACCAAAATGAGACAGTATTCGTAAAGTTGGACATTCTCAATTCCAGGCGCTTACAGGCAAATCTTACTTTTAATTGCTTCAAGAAGATTATAAATTTGAATTCTACGTGAAGAAAATCGCGTACTTACGTGTACACTTTCTAAATCATTTTCACAGTTTGCCGTAACCCGAATGATCTGTAGTAATAATATGCTGTCGAAAAATGACAAAACTTGTACCTCAGACAAGTGTGCGCTGAAACTGGTATTCTTTTTGAATCGGCGCTGTCAGCGAAACCCGGAACTTGTGTTCATATAGCTGATTAAAACAATTTCACAGACATCAAGATCAGGTCTTTTAAAGACAGTAATTCCAAATAATTTACAACTCAAGAACAATGAGAGACGAGGATTTATGTTTGAGCGCTTTGACGTGGAAAACAAAACAATAATAACACGTTCTTATGAAAACACACAAAGAAGCTGAATAATTTCGTTTTTCTGACAGGAAAAAGACAACGAAACACAGAGCTTCATAAATAAACCACTCTGCAATATTTACACGAGAGCTTCAGTTTCCTTAGCAAAACCAGATTGACGACGAAGAAAAGAAAGTGATTTTCTATTTTGAATAGCAGATTCTGTGAGACATAGATCGATATTGAGTAAAAAATGTGAAATACTCGAGTCTGAAGCTTAACAATATTTTTGCCCTTAGGGTCGAAAGGGTTTTGTGTTGATACAAATTGTATCAAAGCTATAACAATTCTGTATTTACAGAAACATTTCTGTTAGTCTACCAGGCTCTGTTTATTGAAATGCGTTTTTCAATGAGACAACATTCACAAAGGTGATAGTCATTTCAATCTCATGGTTTGTGAAAGGAAAGTGATTTACTCAGTTTGTCGCTGGAAAAATAAAGAGTCTTTTAGTCGAAGCAACAAAAACAAACAAATTTGGAAACAAAGCGAGGAAAGCTTGGGACAAGAAGAGCGATAGAAGAATTGATTTAAAGACAATTTTAAGAAAGTTACGCGCAATCGCAAAACCAAATAGACGATCTCAAATGCAAGCGAACCAACGAACTAATGGCGTCCTAACATAACGTAACGCAGAAACGCTTACACGAACACGTTTAAAAATGTAGGATTTCTCTCGCGAACAAAGTAACACATAAATTTACCCAGACCTGGACTTTAAAATTTAATTAGGCTGTCATTTTAATGTACAAACAAGTTATGGTCTCTATTAACGTCTTTTTTTGTTGTTGCTGTTGTTGCTCATTAAGATATATACAAGTGTTTGATTTTCTTCGGCTAGTATTCCGTGTCATGGTTGGTCTTTAAAAGAACTAAGCAGAGCACCTGCTTGTAGCGTTTATTCAGGGCTCGGCAACCGATTGAACTGAAATGTTACGTTAAAAAAAAACTTGCTAAATTAATTGTCCCCACAGTAAAAGCAAATGTGCATTATATTCTTCCCAAGATTGCCGTTTCAGCAAATTCTTTGAAAGATGTATTTTTTTTTTTTTTTTTTTTGCAAATTCTTGTTATCCAAACATTATGTATTAAGGAAATTGTATTTTGTTTGATATTTACGATACTGCATTTCGCGCCATGAAAACACATTACCCATGATTCCCTACGACCTTCGAGGTGGTTCGTACCATAAAAGGAAAAGGGAAATATTAAAGAAGACAACTCTATACATCACCTAGGAAGAAAAGAGAGCTTACTGACAAAAGCACGATAAGAAAGACAAACACCTGTCTTTGCCCACCTTTGAAATATCTCTTTTGCTTCAGGGTGAAATATTAGCCGCTAAGTGTAAAATTGACAAACATCTCTCCTACTGCTCATCCAGCCGACGAAAAAGAAAAAAAAACGTTTTGTTATGTTAAATTCGCCGATATTTTGTCAAAAATCCTCCGCAGCATTGTTACCGACCAAAAAAATTTGCACCAGGGTACAGCTGTAACACATTAGCACCTGGCGTTCAAAAATAGAAATATATGCTGCGCCGTAATCTCCTCCTTTGTTACAGCGGAATCCGACATGAACTTCAACAAAGTCTGTCATTTCGTTTATTGCGAATATTTAGATCAACACTGTTCTCAACGCACAACAAAGTTTTAGGCTAAAAATTTAATTTTCACTGAGCTTATGAATATTTTTTTTTAGTCCATCATAATTAACTGGTTGAGTTTGCTGTAAACACCACAAGAAATTTGATTGGTCGGAAAAGGAAACTACAAATGGAAAGTGACAGAGTGGTGATTAATGCGGATTTATGCTGCACATCGAGTTTTTGTTTTAACATATGTCACCAAAAACGCACCAAAACCTCAGTATTTTTTTCACGGCATGTGTCGGCCTCATTTCGATTCATTCAGCCAAATGAAGCTTTTGTTTACAGTAACTCTATCAAGGATCAATTCGTCTATGACAGTTATTTTCCTTCGTGTGGGGATATCCAGCAGATAAGCGCATCCACATTAATATACTAACCGCAAACAGAGGGAAAATAATTGCGATATTTGTAACCTAAACGTGGAAATCAATTAATTGAATGACGGAAAAAATCTTCTTTAGCACATTCCTCGTTTTGTCGTAATGCCACGGAAATTGTTTTGAAGAATATGATCAGTTGCTGCCCTATCAGGAGGGTGCCTGAATTTAAATGAGCTAAGTCTGTTGTCGATATCTTACAAAGACATCAAGATCTTAAACTTGAGATTGACAGCGAAAATATAACTTCAATTGTGAATTAACATGTACAGATCTAACCGCTAGATAAAATACTTACATTGCGGTCAAATGCGGCGGTTAAAAGCTTACCACTGCCATTTAGAAATTACATTTGGGTAACAACGACACAAAACCTCCCTGCCGGGCCATAAGCAAGTTATATTACGCTGAAATTTTGCTTCACTAAACCTTTTTTCCCACATTTTTATCATTTTTTTTAATTTCACCCCAATATGAAGGTTATGTTGTCTCTCAAATTGTCTTCCTGCATAAAGGCATCGTCTCCGGCTTCAAAATCAAAGGAGGATATATATTTTTTCGAAACAAAACCGCTAATGATCAAAAAGTATAAAAAAACCACTCATTTTAAAGAAAAAAGAAAAATATTAAATTACGTGCTAGTTTGAAGGTGAAAAGTGACGATTTGTAAACAGATCAGATGATGACAGCTGAGAGAAAATTTCAAAGATACAAAGGAAGACAAAAAATCTGTTTACCTTTGTAATAAGAAAAATAAGTGTTTCCTTTCAGAGAAGATCTCGCTGTAAAAATAATTGATGCTAGAGGTTTTCCTTGACGGGATCAGAGCCAGCGATGATTTCAAATGTGTTATTAAAATGCAGCAGTATTCAGTTCCAACCGGCTCACGAATTGTTCCCGAGCATGAAGGATACCAGGAAAAGCAAAAGGTATTAGCGAGTTGATACCGTACAACGAGTTGGAGACTGGGAGAGAGTGAAATCATGACAAAGGAGGAGAATTTGGGAGGTCTGGCGATAGCTAATCTTCTACCTTGTCCCCAGTAGCTTCTCGGTATTCAAAATTGATGGCGCCTTATAGGAAAGAGGTTGAGCTGTGTCGTTAAAACTCGACAACTTGCTCTGGTCTTAAAACAAATAAACAAACATCGAGTAACCAGGTCATAAATTTTGGTTTTATCAAATGATAATTTAAATTTGCCTTGTCAGAGAGTTTCTAAAGCCGAGATGCTTCGAGCGGTAGCTCTTCGTCATAGCGAGGTAGTCCAGCAAAAATGAGAGCTGCATATCTTAAAAAAAATCATCGATTTATTGGTGCTATTACGTTCATAATTTACTAAATGGTCCTTTCGCTGGATTAAAGTTTTTGATCTCTTAGTGATTTCAGGCCTTAAGCTCAGAAAATCACACAAAATAAGTAGAACTAATTAATGATACAATATTTCCATTGGTGCAGTCTTTGAATGAGTGGCGAAAAACTAAAGTAACCACAGCGACCAATAAAATAAAGCTTTGCATTATCATTGGCCAATGAGAACTCACATTGAAATTACGCAAACTGCTTGAAGCGCGGGAAACGCTGGTGATCAAGTCACGAGTTTTCTGGACCAATCACATAACAAAGTTATGAAACACCGAGCAAGCCCGGATAACTTTCGACAATCAGTTGATTGCCAGTATTGCACTATCTAATATTTGCACGTAAGCTGGTAAAATAAAAAATCCCATGTAATTTCTACCTTATTGTAAATAACTAAAAGTCATTTTACAATCTCACAAGATAAAATCAGGTTTACAATCGTGAGGCCCCCAATTCCTCAAAAGAGGACATTCCATTTTTACAACAAAATTTGATCGAGATATCATTTTTACAACTGACTTAATAGATAACTAAAACCGAACCCCCAAAGAAAATGAAACTTCTACCGTACGAAAGGCACGTATGCTTGTATCGCTAAACACGAATAACCGCGTCGTTCTGAAAACATCAATGGCTGGCCAAAATGGCCGGCTTCAATTAAGCTTGTTTCACATAACAACACAAGCTGTGGACTGCACGAGATCCTCATCCTCCACCACGTACTTTGTTGTTCTGAGTTTAGCTGGTGTTTGCTTCACGTGGTCAAACGCGCTACATAAAGAGAAAATAATTCCTTACAAAAGAACTGAAAACCTTAAAATTCTAATATGAGAACGGTTTTGTAAATTTAATCAGCGTTTTTTTCTGTTGAGTGTAGAGCAATTTTCAAACAAGTGTCGAAAGACATCTGGGATAGCGTTGGTTTTGCTTTACTTTGCGCATGATTGGTCCAGAGAAGCACCATCTTATTAACCAATTAGATGCAAATCTAACACCAATCACGAATTGGTCATCCGTTTTTTCCCGCGCTTTGCTTGTTTTACTTTGAGTTCTCATTGGTTCTTCAGGGTTTTTTCCTGTGTTCTGATTGGTCGCTGTAATAACTCTTATATTGCTTTCACGACACTCAATCGAAAAACGCTCAAAATATAAAATCAAAAGCTGCTACAGGTCTATTGCTTCAAAAGAGGTTACAAGACGTACACAACCTTTCAACGTTCCGCAAGGTAACAATTACTAGTAAAACCGTAAACTTCTCCTTGAACAAATTCATTTGGCAGACACGGGAAGTTCCTACCTCCTAAGAGGAGACTCAACTGCATGGACACAAGACATTTCGGTCAGTTTGGGTCTAAGGCAACGCTTCTTGGCCGCCTCATTCGGCGAGAAGAGCTAAAAAAAACAGCAAGAACAAAATCCAAAAGTAATTCACCGAGGACTAACTCATAACAAGAAATCTGATGATATTGAAGATGAGTTGTTCAAAATGCACAAATGCTAGGTAACACATTTCATCTTGGTGGTGAAACAATTTTTTCTTTGACAAATCTCTTCGTTAAAAAACTAGCAGGTTAAATTTTGGGCAATGGAACAAGGAAACAAGCTGTCATATTTTTCCATCAAAAACTGTCGCCTTTGTAAATGTAGGTCCAATAAGGACCACAGAACGTAGAAACAACAAATAAACTTACATCGACTTCTAGATTCTCTTTCAAAGGAAATTTCCTCTTCTGTCCACGCGTCTTTATGCAGCTCTGCACAGCGCTTGCACCACCCTCAGTTTCTTTCATCTCTCCCGTTTCCCCGCAATATTTTTTTTTAAGTTCATCTGTGTTTGCACAATTGTTATTCGCCTTTTTATCATCTGCTGCACCATCAGTAATCAGCCACGGAGAGTTAATTACAGTCTCTTTACTTCGAGCTCGTGTTATCGGTGTGCTGCTTGGCGTTCTCCCATTCTTAGGCGTTTTTCGAGCGCCTGGTTTTGTCGACCGAGAAGGCGTTGGCTTGTTCAGCAGCTCTTTCCTCAGGGGGTAAAGGCTGTCTTTGATGCATACTGCAGGACTGGCACAATCAGCAGCGGCCGAATCCTGCACATATGCGTGGAAATCATAAGCGATAAATTGTATGGGTCAAACAGAATTAAATACATGAAGAACCTAACAAAAAGCTTCCTTTCATCATTTGGCTTTATTGCACGATTCAATTATCACACGAAAGTAACCCATACCTAAGCTTTCCTTCTTTTGTTTAATCTCAATGTGAAAACGAACATCATATCATCATCATCATCATCATTGTCATTCTCAGTTATCATTTTCATTATCATATCCCTGTTTGTTACAATAGATTAATATCAGTATCTAAGTAAGTGCGCACCTACCCCTCCCCTTCGATTTTTGTAACCACCCGTCAACCATAGCCCGTGTATTCCACTACTTTCTTCCGTCAGCTCTCCCCTCCCCCTCCCCCTCCCCCACCCCCAGACTTTCAGATTTGGCCATTTCATCACTGCCCCCTGGCTTGCTTTTCGAATGCACTTAATCATGGAAATCATCTCAAACCAAAAGAAATCATAAGGTTACGGTACCTGTCGGATGATACTTAATCCCAAACGCGCCTTTTTCGCCACGGATCGAGTCAAAGGAGTAGACCGCTTCGGAAGTTCGTAATCTTCTCTATTCGGCTTTCGTAAGGAGGCCCGGCAGCTCTTGAGGTCACTGCAGAAAATGAATATCGATTAACAATGTTTCCAAAAGAGAGGAATTTTTAATGAGTGTCGAGAGTAACTCGGGAAGCTTTGCTTTTACTTTACTTCACTTAGTTAAGAAAACTCGCGCCACACTTTCTGCCAATCAGAACAAAACTAGAAGAAATCACGACTTGTTACTTAGAGTTCTCATTTGCTGTTAAAGACATTTCCCCTTCTTATTGGCCGTGTTGCTTACTGTAGTTTTGGTTTTATGACACGCAAGCGAAAAGCGTTAGAATTCCCAAAAATTATTGCTCATGGATGGTCATATGAAAAGGGACTATTAGTATAGGTAATAACATGACTTCGAGTGCAGTTTGGTGTAAATACGCACGAGTAAATTTTTCAAAGACAACAAAATTGCACGAGCCCGTAGAAAAGTCAAGACAGACGACATTTTGAAAGCATGCGCGCGCTCTTTGAAATTTGCACGCGTGCTACAACTTTGTACTCGTGTTACATGAAAATAAACTCGTTTTCAGCCAATCAGAAGCGCGTAATTTTTGCATGTTCATTTTCAGTGAGGGTTTGGTCCTCGCGGTAACGCTATTGTAATCTTTGCGCCTCACCTTATTGCATCGCGAATTGATCGAAACCACGTCATTGCTTCGGTTCTTGACTTGGAGAACAACAGCAGGGATTTATCTTTACAAGTTATCTGTCATAAAACGGAGATAATTTTGAGACCAAAGCAGTTCCTTACCATCAAAAACACCACGAATTCACCCTTTAAGAGTGACAAGCATTTAAATTCTCCTTACAAGATCCCCCTCGAATCAAACATTAAGGTCACAAGAATAAGGGAAATGATCACCAACCATTCACAAGCTCTTGATTGTTAAACAAATTCTCCCTGTTAGCACCTTAGGATTTGTGTAGAGAACAGTATGGAGAATATGCATACTGATGTCAGGTTGTAAAGGGTTAGGGTCCAGTAATTCCATCCTTCTGAACAAGTGCTATCTTTACAACGTACCTTAAACAGGGCTCCTGCACCGGCGTTTTCGTCGTTTTCAATCGTTCCACCTAAGACTTGTTCCAGTTCGCAGTCGATCAATGGTAAAACGCGACGGCATAAGTACGAGCTGTGAACAACACGCAAAAAACTTGTAAGACCTGTACTTCAAGTTTACGGAAAACATTTGCCCAACTACCAATTTTTGTGCGCTGTTTCAGCCGCTCAAAGTTCTCCACAAGTTTTCCTCCTTTTCTGAAACTTTTGGTTTGAAATGATACACGGTACTAAATTACCACCAGCAAAGAGTTGGAAAAAATAGTTTTCCGAGAGTCTTTTTTCGTTCTCTTTGTTGCAGGAGCGAAAAACCTTTTTACAAATAAATTATACGCTAACACACGCGTTCTTTCATACCTCTGATCTTTATCCAGTGAGCCACTTTTCTTGGCATAGAGGAGGATGTCGGAAAAAAGAAAAAACATCCTTTCCTGTGACCCTCGGCTACACACCTGTCCGCACATGACAGAAAAAAAAACTCGTCGGCAAAAGTTTGGTAATCGCCATTTGCAAACCTTCTATTTTCGCCAAGGTTACATCTACTAGCTTTCCATCGCAAACGCTCTGACCCGATTGGCCACCCCACTCGATAATTAGTCTGTGTTATTAAAAACTGGATCATCGGACGATGTTTTTATTGGCTTAGCCATCATGGGCTATGAACCATTGGACAATGCGCGCGTATGAAGACGAGTTAAAGCGGAAGTGTTTTTGTACATTGTAACATTCCATTGGTCTTTTGGGTTTGTTTCATAAAACAGTTATTCCTCTCGCGCTTGTTGGATATGAGATGATTAAAGCCAGCTCGGCCCCACGTGCCTCGTTACTATCTATCATCTCATATCCAATGCGCCCTCGCAGAATAATTGTTTAAAATAAGATATTACCGCAAGTCAAGTGAGTAGCTTTCCAGTAGAACATTGTCCGAAGCGCGATCAAAATAAAAGCCAGCTGGTACTAGTAAGGGATTTAACAAACGGAAAAGAAATGGGGGAGAGGTTTCTTGCCTTTGCTCTAACTAAACATCCTCGAAAACTATTTTAAGTCATGAAACTGATTTCTGGTATTAGCTTCCATTCTGCGGGGCCACACAGCGTTTTCCTGCCCTGCTCACTTCATCGTGTAGGGCTCTCATACGGGGATTTTTGTCTTACACTTTTCAACAAAAGCGCGCACGGGGCCGTAAGAGTCATATATAAATTCACAAAAATGATTTCAAAGAAGCACACAGAAAGACAAAAGAAGCATGAAATTTGAAGTAAGAAAAACAACGAGGTCACGCTCATCTACGAACACTTCTTTTCTCAGAGGATCGGAAAGCGACATTTTGAACAGCTAACAAACACTATACCTTCAAAAGTGGTCCTTCTTTGATAAAGAGCCGCCCTTAGAAAATAGAAAGAATTGAAGATGAAAACGACTCAGAGCAATTTAACTCTGAAATAATCGTATTAAATCTCTGTGGCAATAAGTTCACATCACATCACACTCTTTGCGGTAATTCCATTGTTACCTGGAGCAAGGATTTTCGGGGCTCCTTCCCCTGTCAATGAGTTCTGAATGGAGAGCATTTTCTGGAAGTTTTCCCTTTGTCGAATGTTCTCATTGATGTGATGTGCGACCTTGTTGATTTCAGTTGTAGCTTCTGAAACACATGATCAAAATGAGACTTTCTTCAGAGTCAAAAAATTTAATCTTTATTTGATACTGCTATTTTGTTATCCCTTAACGAAATGCTTACACTACTGGCTAGACGCATATACATGTACCATACCTTGTAGTTTCTCAAAATCAGGATGGTCTTTTGGAGTTTTGTTCAGAAGACTCTCAAGTAATAGTTTGTACCTGAAAAAACAAATTTATAT